CCCTACAACCCCCAAACAAGATATATTTATCTTTAGGGCGATCACTCAAGGTTTATATTGATTTGCACATATATATGTATAACAATGATTAACCACTTAATTAAATTTCATATAATGAATCAAACCATTTTAAAGCTTTTGTATGCATAAGCTTAGCAGAATGTTTAAGTCAGCACTTGCTTGATATTGCAGTTTCTCTAAGAATCACCACTTGAATATGTATGTGTTATTGAAGACCTAAGTTCTTACTCAAGATGTTTACCTTTAATTTGAGTCTCAATCAACACATGAAGTGCACACCTTTTTAAACACTATAATGTGAGTATTATGTGAAATTGATATGTCTCTTCATCAGCAGGGGACTCTGAGTCTGGGGGGACAGTAGGACTCTGGGGTCAGAGACTTCAGAGGAATCTTTCCCTTCCATTGAATCCAAACACGTTAGATCCATAAAGATCCACGGACTGCTTGAATATACCTCCAATGTTTCTCTGACCTTTTGATGAACCCTCATAACAGCCAATGAGAGCCTTTGTTAAAAGGAGGTGCCTCCCTCTGACAGCCAATCACACGTGACTGTGCCAATGACTGACATCTCTTTTAGCCATTGAAATTCTCTAAACATGGATCTGGTGTGTAGCCGATATTAGCAGGGGTTGTAAGGTGGTGCTCCGAGGTTAAATAAAGATATAATATCTTAATAAATTCATTACGCTACAGCTGCTTCTATCGAGACTTGGAGAGATTTCTTCATGTTCACACTGAAGAGAGTTAAAGTCCGAGTGGTTTTAAAAGTCTGAATCAGCTGATATTTAAACCATGAGGTGTGATGATCTAACCGTGTTTGTCCTCTCTACATCAGAGGAAGGCGAAGTACTCCGAGAACAAACTGAAGACTCTTAAAGCCAGGAACGAGTACCTGCTGACCATGGAGGCCACCAACGCCTCCGTGTTTAAATACTACATCCACGACCTTCCCGACATCATAGACGTCAGTAGACTTTTCTTTCCCGTTCGTCCTGACCTCCGTCCTGAACAATGTCAGAAATGTTTTCCTCTTTGTCTCAGTGCTGTGACTTAGGGTACCACTCCAGTCTGAGCCGGGCTCTAAAGACCTACCTATCAGCTGAACTCAGCCTTGAAGCCTCCAGGAGGGCCGGTCTGGAGGTCCTTGAGGGGGCCGTGGAAGGCCTGGACCCGGCCCGGGACAGACAGCGCCTGCTGGGCCTCTACCCCACCGCCTTCTGCCCGCCACAACGCTTCGGATTCCAGGCGCACATGGGAGACGCAGTCAGTACCTCAGATCCCGTATCAGAGTCCGGTTCTGTTGCCATGGTGATTTACTGATTGTTCTTTTGTTTCACTGACCGCCAGGTGACTCAGATCGCATCGCAGCCGCAGGTCCAGGCCGAGCTGACGCTTCGCCTCACGCAGCTCCAGACCCGCTTGGCGTCTCTGAAGATCGAGAACGAGGAAGTAAGACACGGAGATACAGACACATCGTTCAAGGACACATTTATTAAACCAATCATATCACAGCGTTCACATGACATCACACATGTATGAAACTGCCCACATGGCGGCCCTCCGTCCTCACGATGACTTGTTCCGTCATGTAGAGAATAAGTGTTGAAAGAAGACGTTTTTATTTATCCTGAAAACCGTCTGAAGTTCTTCGTTTTGTGAATAAGTTCTCTGAATATGCTGAAGAGAATCTTTTTTTCTCGCCGTCCAGGTGAAGAAGACGTGGGGCGCCACCCTGACCACGCTGCAGGACATGACGGTGCTGGACGATTACGACGTGTCGCAGAGCTTCACCCACAGCCCGTCCTCCGAGTCGGTCAAGTCCAGCGTGTCCGACGGATACTTGAACAAACCGAGTCTGGCGAAGAGGCGGGCCAACCAGCAGGAGACGGAGCTCTTCTACTTCAATGTAAGACACGCCTCCACTTGTTCTTTGATGTAGTGCGGCTGATGATAGTAACGCCGTTAGATGAAATGAGCAAGACACTGAGAGGTAGCGGCGTGTCGCTACACGACCTGAAACAAACCGCTCTCGGTACTTGAGACTCTGACGGCATCCATCGTTTAAACGTTAAGCGTCATGACGTCCTGAAGGTCGCCAGGAGACGATTAAACAGCTTTACTTTATCAACAGGAAGTCGCCCCCTGCTGGCTATTAGAAGGATGCAGGTTTAAGGCACGTCTGCATTCAAGGTTAACCTTGAATTAACCTTGAATGAGCCTTGAATGAACCTTGAGGGAATCTTGCAGACTTGGTGTGAACGTGTTGGATCAAAATGTAAACGTATATTTTTGTGTTTTTGCATCCTCAGAAGTTCCGCGAGTATCTGGAGGGGAGTAATCTCATTTCCAAACTGCAGGCCAAACACGACATCCTGAAGAAGGCGTTAGCAGAAGGTGACGACGTCACCTCCTAACTTTTCCTCAGATTACCATAAACACCACCTGTGTCCTAAAATCTTCCTCTCTTCTTACAGGATATAAAGCCGACCTGCTGACGACCAGGTAACCATCCCACCTCACTTCCTGCCCTCCTCTCTGAGCGCTCTGTGATTCTGACACGCTCCTCTTTTCTCCTTTCAGTCGTGGCCGGAAGAACTCCCACAGCAAGCACCAGGTAGAGTTTCCCTTCCTCACCGGGCGGCGGGTAGTTTCTCTGTGATGATCAGAGGACACGCCTACCCGTCAAACGTTTACCACTCAGTCATTCGTCCTCTTCAATAACCGTTATTATTGAGTTATTGTTGCTCCAGAGAGACGAGATCTAGCAGCTCTTGTAAAGGAGTTCAGTGTGCCCCGAGTTTGACCTGTCAGGCTACCTATAAACAATCTACAACCTGAGACGAGGCGTGCTGCTCAACTTAGAGCCATGTTTACGTTTCCTCATTGTTTTCATCTTTGGCCTTTCTTAAAGAAGGACCGTGTGTAGAGCAGGAAGTCAGGAGAGCTTTGAACGATAGGTAGGAAAGGAGAACAGCGCCCCCTACCTGGATAACCACAGCCTTCGTAGAGAGAGCGCGACCTAACCGCTAGGCCATCTGCGCCCAACTATGAATTTAATCAACATGGTTCAATGAGAATAATGATGTAATTCGTCCAGCGTCTTTAGCATCCGGCGTCTTCAGCGTCTTTAGCGTCCGGCGTCTTCAGCGTCTTCAGCGTCCGCCGTCTTCAGCGTCTTCAGCGTCCGGCGTCTTCAGCGTCTTCAGCGTCTTCAGCGTCCGGCGTCTTCAGCGTCTTTAGCGTTCAGCGTCTTTAGCGTCTTCAGCGTCCGGCGTCTTCAGCGTCTTCAGCGTCCGGCGTCTTCAGCGTCTTCAGCGTCTTTAGCGTCTTCAGCGTCCGGCGTCTTCAGCGTCTTCAGCGTCTTCAGCGTCTTCAGCGTCTTTAGCGTCTTCAGCGTCCGGCGTCTTCAGCGTCTTCAGCGTCTTCAGCGTCTTCAGCGTCTTTAGCGTCCGGCATCTTCAGCGTCTTCAGCGTCCGGCGTCTTTAGCGTTCAGCGTCTTTAGCGTCTTCAGCGTCCGGCGTCTTCAGCGTCTTCAGCGTCCGGCGTCTTCAGCGTCTTTAGCGTCTTCAGCGTCCGGCGTCTTCAGCGTCTTCAGCGTCTTCAGCGTCCGGCGTCTTCAGCGTCTTCAGCGTCTTCAGCGTCCGGCGTCTTCAGCGTCTTCAGCGTCCGGCGTCTTCAGCGTCTTCAGCGTCTTCAGCGTCCGGCGTCTTCAGCGTCTTTAGCGTTCAGCGTTGTCTTTACGTCATCAAACAAAAGAACTCTGAGCTGTTAATTTGTGAAAAAGGATCTTTTAGATTCTTGATCTGAATGAAGAAAAAACTGTCCATCTTGTTCCCTGAACACAGGATTCTACTAAAGCCATACCTTTACTAGTGGAGAGCTGCATCCGCTACATCAACCTGCACGGTGAGTCTTTAATAAACTCCGTGGAGCAGGAAGTTAACCTTCATCATCAAAGGCTTTTAAAGATGGCATCACTTTACAATGCCAACAGATAGAAACAATATCCGTGAAAGTAAAAGAAGCTCAAACTTTTCCCATCAGGTCTTCAGCATCAAGGAATATTCCGGGTGTCGGGGTCACAGGTGGAGGTCAACGACATCAAAAACTCCTTTGAAAGAGGTATAAAGGTCACATAAAGGTCACATAAAGGTCACATAAAGGTCACGTGAATGTTACAGAATAAGTCGCTGGATACAGATGTGTTGTTGTTGTGTCTGTTGTCCAGGTAACGACCCGCTGATTGACGAGGAGAGCAACCACGACATCAACTCTGTGGCCGGAGTGTTGAAGCTCTACTTCAGGGGTTTGGAAAACCCGCTGTTTCCCAAGGACCGCTTCAATGACCTTATCTCCTGCGTCCGTGAGTAACACAGTGTCTTAGTTTACAGGTCATATGCAGAGGTCGAAGTTTAGCCACATCTGACCACTGGCCTCTGACCACGGGGCTCTGACCACGACTTGACTTGATGTGGTCTGTCTCAGACTGAGTCAGCGAGTCGGCTCCTTCTGTCCTTCTGATGTTTGTTTTTCACTGCAGGCATCGAGAACATGTACGAGAGAGCGCAGTGCATCCGTAAGATCCTCCTGGGAGTCCCGAGAGCCGTACTGGTGGTGATGCGTTACCTGTTCGCCTTCCTAAACCAGTGAGTATCTGAACCAACGTAATGATCCCTTAGAAATGATCACTTAGAGCATGTCGAGATCAAACTGAGAGAGAGAGAGAGAGAGAGAGAGAGAGAGAGAGAGAGATGGAGGGAGAGAGATAGAGAGAGGGAGGGAGAGAGAGATGGAGGGAGAGAGATAGAGAGAGGGAGGGAGAGAGAGAGAGAGAGAGAGAGAGAGAGAGAGAGAGAGATAATAATAAATAAATGTATCCTTTTATATGTTGCGTCTTACCTCAGGAGACCCCCCCTCCCCCCTCCCCCCCTCCTCTCTGACAGGGACAGTCTCCAGCTGTGGTCTGGATCAG